ACATAAGCAGAAAAAGCTGGAAGTGGCGCTGTGGCTCAAGTGGTAGAGTGCTAGCCTTGAGCTGAAGAGCTGAGGGACAGCGCCCAGGCCCAGAGTTTAGGTCCCACAACTGGCAATAAATAAATAAAAAATCTAGTGTTCAACAGATTCAAAGGCTGCTATGAGCCTGAGGATAAGTACCAACAGAAGCCATGATGATTGTCAGAAAGCAATGACAGGCTGCCAGCAATTCTGACATGCTTTGAACTGTTCTAAGTAATGAGACAAGAGACTTTGTCTCTGGGCAAAAGATAATGTGAACAGAGTAAATGTTTGGGGGAGATTTCCAGACCACTTACCTGGATGACCATGAGATGTAGCTTCCCTTTGCTGTCCATCTTCAGCATAACAAGGCGGGCAGCCAAGTAAAGCTCATGTCCGTGAATTTCATGGCTGGAATTCCATCCAGCAGGATAAAGTCAGCCTCAAACAGTGAGTCAGTCTGGGGAAAAGGGTCAACCTATCTATCTATGGTTGGATTCCAAAGTCAGCCTCCAGAGCAAAAGGAAAGAGTTGTAAAGATATTCCATCTAGGTTTTTGCCATTTTTTCTACTTCTGTAGTTTAGTTAGAGTAGCAGAGTTGACTAAACAATCCAAAGCAACAGATCTAAAGCATCTTATTTCACACAAAAAAAGAAGCAGAGTCTTTTTTTGGTACATGAAATTTTTGTAGTGGATGGAGTTATAAGGACTACAGATTGGGGGCTGGGAAGGTGGCTCAGTGGCAGAGCGCTTGCCTTGCATGCCTGAGGCCCTGAGTTCGATTCCTCAGCACCACATAAGCAAAAAGAAAAAAAAAGGACTACAGGTTGTCAATCCCTTGTACTCCACAGATTAGTTAAAGTCTTCCCTTGTCAAGATGGCCAGATCCTAGTTATCTCCGGTCTACTATCTTGTTGGACATTGGTCCTGCATTTTCTCCCTACATATCATATAAATCTCTATATTTTCCTAGCAGAGGACTTCAGTGTGGTAGCCTCCATTCCCTTATACTCACCTTGTGGTCCGTCCCCATCACTTCTGCTTGCCATACTACCAAAGAGGAAAACAACCATATATGGGAGAAAGTACCTGGAGTTCTTTCTCCAATTAGCCTTGAAGCCCTTCTGTCCCAGAGGGCAACACCAGCCTGGAGGGCAGAGAGGTGGAGCATCTCAACAACATGGGGTTGGCACCACTGAAGAACTAGTAGCCAAAAAGCTCATTCTGTCAATGCTGGTGAACCATCTCTGTGAGGAGAGGATATTTACCCTCTCTACAGGCTATATTCAAGGGTTATAGAGATGTGACCATCTTTTATCCAGAGTTGAGGCCTCCATGAGACCACCAGGTACACTATGTCCTTATTTTACAAGGAGTTCTTATTTTATCATACATGAAATATAGCAGGTAGGCCATCAGAAATGGCAATCAAGAAACTATAAGACAGCTGGACTCTTGTGAGTGTTAGAATCAGTGGGGTGAGAAGTCTCATTGATGTCAAGGCCATGCATGCCTCCCCCCACCCCCCTGCTGGGGAGCAGGGTATCAAAGGGGGTCCACTGGTGGGTGGTTTGTTTGGGCCGACCACCAGATTAGGGAGGCAAGAGGTTTCAGAGAAGACATAGAGAAAGAGACATGCTTCAAGAGACATGCCTCCCAGAGCGGAGCAGAGCAGGCCTGAGGAATGCCCAGGCTGGCAGAGAAGCCCAAGGAGATCCAGGCCAGAGGAGAGCCCCATGCAGGGCTGAGAGGCCTGTGCGTATGCCTGTGAAGAGCATAGAGGCCTGCACAGAGGCCAGAGGACCGTAGAGAGGCCTGTAAAGAGCAGAGAGGCCTGCAGAGAGCCAAGATGCTTGTGAAGATGTAGAGAGGCCTTCAGATACAGGAGAGGCCTATGGAGATGTGAAGAGGCCTGTGGAGATGGGAGAAGCCTGTGGAGATCAGAGAGACCTGCAGAGATTGGAGAGGCCTGTGGAGAGGCCTGTGGAGAGCAGAGAGACCTGGGGGAAGGAGGAAAAATGAAAAAAAAAACAAACTTGCGTCCTTGGGGTACAGCTGCTCCTAATTCTGAGGTAACCCAGGACAGCATTGCAGACCAACTAATAAAACTCCTTTGTCACCTTTAACCATGCCTCTGTGGGTTTTCTCGCTTGTAGGTCATTACAGCGAGAGCCTGAAAATCCACGCTGTGAGACCCCTAAAGGATTGGGAGTTTGGAATGCCTTCTCCCAACATACTCTTAGAACAGTGAGAGTTTCCTGGAAAGGTCAATCAGTCCTAGCTTTACAGGGATTCAGATGTCTATCCTGGGTGTGGGCTAACTCTACCCTAAATGGTGTGGGAGCCTGAGGGAAGACTTAGGTTTATACAAATTGTAAGCTGTTTACTGTTTAGCTCTCCCTCCCAGAATAAGGAGGTCATCCACCACTTGTATATAGAGTATTGTCACAGGTTGAAGTTTATACCTTATTTACTACACAAGACCAATAAAAACCTTGATTAATGGAACCTTGGGATCTGAAGCTGGCAGAAGGCTACAGGTCCCCTGGTACCTCAAACCTCAATTCCATGGTCTGGTCTCCATAACTGCCTTGTGGGTGGGTTAAAGGGCATGTTGTGGTTGCAACAGGTGCTGGTGTCTCATACCTGTAATCCTTGCTATTCAGGAGGATGAGCTCTGAGGACTGTAGTTCAAAACCAGCCTGGGCAGGAAAGTCCATAAGACTCATTTCCAATTAACCACCAGAAAACTGGAAGTGGCTCTGTGATAGAAAGTGGTAAATCACTAACCCTGAGCAAAAAAGGCTCAGGGACAGCATTCAGGCCCTGAGTTCAACCCCCACACTGATCAAAAAAGAAAAGAAAAAAGAAGTGACCATTAAAGTTTATAGAGACTTAAGGGAGTCACTAACCAGCTCTCTTCTTGCCCCAGTAAATCTACTCAAAGTCCACCAGATGGCTCCAGGATGTCATGAAGTACAAACATGCTTGAGGGCAACCTTCAGAGACCTAGGACAGGGTTAAGGATGAAACCACCAACTTACCAAATTCTACCTGTTTGGGGATCTGACAGCCTCCCACTCTACTCCCAACACTTCCTTACCTTACCCTGATGGCCCATTCAATGTCCTGCTTCTTCTCTTTGTGGAATCTCATATTTAGGGGTAAGTCATTCTTACAGTCTGCAGCTATGGACAGTGGCAACACTTCCTTCCAGATGACACAGCTAAAAGATGGGGACCAAGCATCAAGAAGGCATGCTGAAGTCCATAATGGAGAAAGGGGCAGGAAAAGGGAAGGGGCAGGTGACTATGGTAGAATGGAGTCTACCACACTACAGTCCTCTGCCAGGAAAATCTAGAGATTCATGTGATATGTAAGGGGAAAATACAGGACCAATGGCAACCAACCAGAAAAGCCTGTGGATAGTGATCTCTGGTAGATCCATTCATTGTCTTTCCTCCAGTTTCTTCTCTATATTTCTGGAAGATATCCAAGGCATTGTCTCCTCCTGCCAGGCAGGCGAGGGAGATACGAAGAGGGCTGACCACCTTGCTTTATCCAATCTCATGGTACACCTTGGCTTGTCCTAATCTCTTATTTCTTAATTGTTACTGCATCATATTCCTACTCCTTTGTCTCTAACTCTTGTGATTGCTTATCATTTATGCCATCCTCATCCAGCCTCTTTTTTTTATTTCACCAATCTTAGCCCTCATAATTGTCTTGGGATAAAAATGGAATGCTTGCCATTCATTCTTAACCCTTAACTCAAATTTCCCTACCTGTCCATTTCCTTCCTGATTCATGCATTCTCTTCTTAAAACCTGCCATGGCTACACCTATCCCACATTATCCCATATTGCTTCTGTTTAATTGTACCTGTCCTTTTCATCTGTCCAAATGACGTTTCTTGTTCACTACGCTTTCATCCTGAGACTGTCCTTCATCTTCTCTCATTAGATATTCATAAACTAAGGAAATTGATGTGCGCTACCCTCAACTCTGCCATCTCACCTGTCCTAGAAGATAAATAACTTCTCTTTCTCCTCCTTTCTTTCTCTCTCCTCTCCTTCCCACCCTCCCTCTCTCTCCCTCTGTCTTCCTTGCCCCTCCCTTCCTGCCTTCCTCCCTCTTTCTTGCCTCTCTCTCTCTCTTCCTTTCTGTGCAGACACTGGGATTTGAACTCAAGGTCACTGTTTCTTCGCTTTTTCACTCAAAGTTGGCACTCCACCTTTTGAACCACAATTCTACTTTTAGCTTTTGGCTAGTTATTTGAAAATGAGTCTTACAGATTTTTCTTCTTGGCTTGGCTTCAAACCTCAGTCCTAAGATCTTAGCCTCCTGAGTAGCTAGGATTATAGGCATGAGACAATGGCATCTTCCTTCCTTCCTTCCTTCCTATCCTTTCTTCCTTCTTTTCTCCCTCCCTCTCTCCCTTCTTTCCTTCCTTCCTTCCTTTTTTTTGGGGGGTCCAGTCGTGGGGCCTGAACTCTGGGCCTGGGTGCTGTCCCTCAGCTCTTCAGTTCAAGGCTAGCCCTCTACCACTTGAGCCACAGCGCCACTTCTGGCTTTTTTCTTTTTGCTTATGTGGTGTTGGGGAATCAAACCCAGGGCCTCATGCATGCAAGGCAAGCGCTCTACCACTGAGCCACCTTCCCAGCCCCCTTCCTTCCTTTTATCCCTTTCTTTTCTTTCTTTCTGTTCAGAAGATAATTTCTTGTTTCTGTTTACCTGTAACCTCTTTACAACATACTTTATATTTGTTAACCTGATCGGTTCCTATTCTTACTTTGTGTTCATCAGTCCCTCAAAGGTGCCTTGTTTCCATTCTTTCTCTTCGGTTATCTCTCTTACAATTACAATGAAGGTAACCAATTCTATATTTGCTCTTTTCAGGCATCCCCACCTTTTACCTCTCCCCTTGTCCCTCAGTGAATCATCCATATTTCCCCCATTTCTCTAGTTCTACAACATCATTCTATTAGCTCTGTCAGCTGTCACCACTCAAGAGTCACCTGTCATCTGCAATTACCTGGGCCCTTCACCTGCCCTTGCTAACTTGTTCTGTTACTTTGGCTTTTCTTTTCCATCATTGTTACAACTCTTGTCCCTGATCTCACCTTGTTGGAATACTGGGTCTTCAGATCACTTATTCTCTGTCACTGTGTTTTACTTGTGGACTTTTTTTTTTTTTGGTCAATCGTGGGGCTTGAACTCTGGGCTTGGACACAGTTTTCTGGTGGTTAATTGGAGATAAGAGTCTCATGGACTTTGCTGCCCGGGCTGGCTTTGAACCCATGATCCTCAGATCTCAGCATCCTGAATAGGTTTACAGATGAGCCACTGGCACCTGGCTACTTGTGGACTTTCTATTTTTTCCACCTTCCTTGCATGCGGATACCAATCCTTTCATTGTCCTTTCTCTAAGTAATTCCCCTCCAAGCCTCCTCATCCTGCCTCTCCCACTGCTGGCCAGCTAGGCCATGTGCTCACTTTCCCAATGCTGCCCGCTCACCCGTGCCCTCAGGCTCACCATGCCCTGGCCCTTAACCCAGCGGTAGCATGGGAAGGCCACCTCTGCGCAGGCTCTGGGGCCCGGCACTGTGATTCGGTTGCAGAACCACATATCATCCATTAGTACATGCTCTTTGTGCAGCTTCACGAACTGCAATGACCCCAAGTTCTGGAGGGATTCAAGGTCAAATTCCTCTTCCTGTGGGGGCCCAAACCACCAGACTTAGCAAGGACTGGGAGAGGCTGCTCGAGAACAGAGCCGCCCCCTTAGCCAGCCTGTTTACCAGGGCCACACCACCTCACACCACCTGCCCAGTGGATCTCAGAGGATCTGCTGCAGCCAGAAGAGAAGAGGCCACAGCCCGCTACTTGCCTGACTCGAGCTGATGGTGGACCATCCTCACCATCATCTATTTCCCACAATCCACTGAGCTTCCCATCTGACCACTGGACGGGTATTCGGGTTCTGTGCCATTTGGAGAAGGGTTAGGGATACACTCAGCCCAAACCTCTGGCTCCCAACCTTGTCCCTCCCTGCTCCCCCAACAGATTCTCCACTCTGTGGACACAAGTTCCAGCTATGGTGCTTGTATTGCCACTCACTCCTCAGCCTGTCAGTCACTGCCCCTCGACCTCTCCCCCTCCACAGTCGTAGCAGGCCAGGGATCCTGGGCCCCTCTCTATCTGGCCCTGAGGAGGCCGCAGGTGCAGCCTCAGCTCCAGCTCTGTCTCCCTGCGCTCTCCAACCAGCCACAGTTGCACAGTGCGGCAAGACCCGGAGAAGCGCCAGGCCTTGGTGGCCAAGCGGATGCCTTGAGGACTCTGGCCTGTAGTTTTATGGGTCCGCAGGAATGCTGAGTGCTGCTCTTGATGTGTTTTCTGCAGCACCCTGTCCTAGGCTTAATAAAGCAGGGATCTGGGAGTCTGCCCCCTGTAGAATTGGGGCACTCCAGATCCCCACCCTTGACAAGCCTGAAGCTGCAATTGTTCCTGATGAAGGTGGGAAGGACTCTGGGAAGTGGGGACCTAGATGGGGACAGAAGGGGAGTGAAGGATTGACCCCCACCCTATTGTCCCAGGCCCATACAAACTCCAGGCCAAATCTCAGGTATGTGTGAACTTGTTTGAAGTGCAGGCAGGGCCATCCACCTAAGCCCAGCTGTAAACATCCCATTATGGGCCCAACTGAAAGGCCCCCACCTCCCTGCCTCCTTGCTTGGACCTCCTATAAAAACCCAGCTCCTGTCCAACTCTCCGGCACAACCTCCAAACCTGTGGGAAGGTCTGTGTCCCTCGCTGTCCCTCAGTAAACAGTCCTGGCCTGTTGATGATCCAGTCTGGCCTATTCCATTTCCATACTCCTCCATTTTCCTAACAGGGAGATTCACCAAATTTCTCTCCAGGCCCTTTATCTCCCCCCTTCCCGTTTTTTAATTCTGATATAACGCTAGTGAGCATTTTCAGAAGAGGTTTTGGATGCCACTGGTTGGGATTTGCCTCCCTCCGGGTCTGCCTTTCAGCTCAATGAGGCAACTCCTTCCCATGGCTGGTCTGCCAGAGAAAGGGGAAGGGGGCATGTCCCTGTGGGCCAGGCTAGGGACAACCCAGATTCAGAGAAAAATTGGAGTGTTCATACTAAAATAATTTTCTACATCAACCCATTTAGAAAATAGCTAATTTAATTTTCTCCTTTTGTTTTCTACTTTGCAACACTCACCCCAAAAGAAATCAGCAATTCCAGTATACTTGTCCCCTTCCTATTTATAGAATTACACCATGTTTTTTTTCTTCCACAGAAATAAACAATTTTTTGGGGGGGTCAGGTCATGGGGCCTGAACTCTGGGCCTGGGCGCTGTCCCTCAGCTCTTCAGCTCAAAGCTAGCGCTCTACCACTTAAGCCATAGTGCCACTTCTGGCTTTTTTCTTTTTGCTTATGTGGTGTTGGGGAATCAAACCCAGGGCCTCAGGCATGCAAGGCAAGCGCTCTACCACTGAGCCACCTTCCCAGCCCCATAAACAATTTTTTGTTGTTGTTAGAACGTGCTTTTTTCTTTCTCTCTCTCTTTTTTTAAACAATACTAAATTGTCAAAACAGGTAAGAGAAAACTCCATGATGGGAATATTCAAATCAGTAAGATTTTTTTTTCATTATCTTTTAGGATTTATTTATTTATTTGGTGGTACCAGAGTTTGAACTCAGCCTTGCCCACACATCCTATCATTTGAATCATACCTTGAGCCTTTTTTGAATTTAGGTTATTTTTAAGGTAAGGTATTATTATTATTATTTTCATTTTCTGGTCTTGGAGCTTGAAGTCAGGACCTGGGTGCTGTTGTTTAGCTTTTTTGCTAAGATAAAATGCCATAGACTTTCCTGCCCAGGCTAGCTTTGAATTACAACCTGCAGATTTCAGCCTCCTGAGTAGGTAAGATTACAGGTGTGAGCCACTGATAGGCATCAGTGGCAGTGGCTGTTTTTGCCTGCTGGCCTTGGAATAAAATCTACTCGATCTCTGCTTCTGAAGTAGTTGAGAAGTAGTTGAGATGATAGACGTGAGCTCTCCTTCCTGGCTGGAGTTCCCCTCTTGCTGGACTTTTATGGTATTATTTATAGTTATTATTTATGATGAATCATATGTATATATGTATATATTCACACATCTCTACATATCTTTTATACAGAGCTTTTATATTATGTCATAGATTCTCCAGAGTGAGACTGCTGTGTTGAATCATATGCATATATATTTTATGTTAATATTGGAAAATTGTTTTCCCAAAAGTTGGTAATAAGATATCAGGACATACATCTCCCTCACCAACACAAAGAGTTATCACTCTCCCCTCCACCCCCCCCTTTTTGTCAGTTTTAAGGCATTTTAAATGCTTTCTATTTTCATAGTTGCAAATAATCCATTTAGCCTGTATTTAACCTTCATCCTTGTTAGTCCAACCTCCTTCCACTAGTATTTTCCTCTCATGGTAGTTTTGATTTGCATTTTCTTTCTTTTTGTCCTTTGTGGGGCTTGAACTCAGGTCCTGGGTTCTGTCCTGGAGGTTTTTTTGTGCTCAAGTACTCTACCACTTTGAGCCACAGTACCACTTCCAGTTTTCTGGTGGTTAGTTGGAGATAACAGTCTCATGAACTTTCCTGCACAGTCTGGTTTTGAATCATAGGCCTCAGATCTCAGCTTCCTGAGTAGCTAGGATTACAGATGTGAGCCCCTGGCGCTCTTTATAACACTCTGGCAGGTAAAATTGTGAAAAGTTGGGTAGATGGGAAGGTCTGGAATTTTCCCCTGCTTACAAGTGAATCAGTTAGCCAATTACTGTCTATGGGAGGCTAGCAGAAGCCACAGTCTCTTGGATCACAGGAAAAGAACTTCATTATTCACAGAAGGAGCAATGTCAAGAACTTCATGTTCACATTGCTTGCTCCTAAACACATAGTCCCATGGAGGTGACATGGATGGGCCTAGCTGAGTTTCAGTACAGGAGATTTGGAGGGGCTCATACTATTATGTTGAAGCAGAAGCAAATCTGCTCTGCTTCGGGGAGACATTTACCTCATCCCTCAAATTTTCTCCCTGCAAACTCATCCTTCAGACTCACCCTAAGAAAACTAGGACATTGTGTACTTGGCATTACTAGAAGAATGGTTCCAGGCACTCAAGACTCATGGCAAATTGCCTCTTCCAGGACAAGGTGGGGGTTTAACCACTTGAAACCCTCTAATACTTTCCTATGGATATAAATTAATGTTTAAGTCCCTTGCTAAAATCTAGTGCTACATGTCCAAGCCTACTCTGAATTTAGTGGTAAAGAAGTAATGAAAGAGAGTTGGGGTGTGTGTGTGTGTGTGTGTGTGTGTGTGTGTGTGAATTCCTTCACATGGTCTTGGCAAATTCCTGGGCATTGATAGAGCATTTCCTACCCTATCCTACTAATCTTAAACTAGAAAAGATAATGATGCTTCTCTGCCTGGTGGATTCTTCACTCTGCATTAAGACATTCAGTGTGTTTCCACCAGAAAAAAAATGTGTATGTGTGTGTGTGTTTGTGTGTTTGTCTGTGTGTCTGTCTATCTGTGTGTCTGTCTGTCTGTTCTGGTACTGGGGCTTGAACTCAGGGTCTTGTGCTCTTGCTTAGCTTTTTTGTTCAAGACTAGTGCTCTACTACTTAAGCCACAGCTCCACTTTCATCCATAAAAAAATTTGTCATGCCGGGCGCTGGTGGCTCACGCCTATAATCCTAGCCACTCAGGAGGCTGAGATCTGAGGAATGCAGTTCAAAGCCAGCCTGGGCCAGAAAGTCCATGAAACTCTTATCTCCAATAAACCACGAGAAAACCGGAAATGGTTCTATAGCTTAAGTGGTAGAGTGCTAGCCTTGAGCTGAAGAGTGCAGGGATAGCGCTCAGGCCCAGAGTTCAACCGACCAAAAAAAAAATTATCAGTCAACTTTCCATCACTGTGACAAAATATCTCATCTAATCAACTGAAAAAGACAAAAATATTCATTTTCTCTCCTGGTCCCAGTAAATTTTAAATCATGTCTAGGTAGAGAATTACTGTGGCAAGTAAAATAATATAGTAAAGCTGTTCACCCCATTGTAATGGGGGAAGCAATGACATAAGAGGAGATGTCAGGGTCTGAATATCCCCTCCAAGGTCACATCCCACTGGTTATACAGCCTCCAATAGCGCCATGGAGTTGAGATCTATCTTTTAGCACATTGATTTTGGAGATTGTGTACTATAATAATCTTCTTGTTCGCAAATGCTTACATACATCCCATACGAAATGTCTTTTGTCCATCTTCAAGAGTGCCTAAAGGGCTGGGAAAGTGGCTCAGTGGTAGATTGCTTGCCTTGCATGCATGAGGCCCTGGTTCGATTCCTCAGCACCACATAAGCAAAAAGAAAAAAGCCGGAAGTGGCACTGTGGTTCAAGTGGTAGAGCTCTAGCCTTGAGCTGAAGAACTGAGGGACAGCACCCAGGCCCAGAGTTCAGGCCCCATGACCCAACCCCCCCCCCAAAAAAAGTTCCTAAAGCTTCAAAAGTCGAACATTGCTCAAAAATCCAAATCCAAACTTCTAGCTATGATCTCCTGTATAAACCATACTTTAAAAATTACATAGTCAAGTATCAATGGCTCACACATGAAATTCAGGCTACACAGGATTCTTTCTTTTTCTTTCTTTTCTTTCTTTCTTCATTCCTTCCTTTCTTTTCCTATTTTTCTTTCTTTTTCTGTCTTTCTTTCTTTCTTTCCTTTTTCTTTCTTCCTTTGTTTTCTTCCTTTTCTTTCTTTCTCTCCCTGAATCTCCCTAACTCTCCCTCCCTCTTTTTCTCTTTCTTTTACTTTCTCTTCTTTCCTTCTTTTCTTTCTCTCCCTTCCTCCTTCACTCACTGTCTTTCTCTTAGTACTGAGGCTTGATCTCAGGGCCTAGGCACTGTCCTATAGTTTTTTTGCTCAAGGCTACAGCCCAGTCACTTGAGCCACAGATCCACTTCTGGACTTTTGGTGGTTAATTGGAGCTAAACGTCTTACAGACTTTCCTGTCCTAGCTAGCATCAAACCATTAGTCTCATATCTCAGCCTCCTGAGTTGCTAAGATTACAGGTGTGAGCCACTGGCACCAGCTTTTGTTTTTAAAGGTTGTTTTAGCAACCGTACTCTTCTTGGTCACAACTTTAAATACTTTTGTTTTCTGACAAAACTACAAACATTTCAAATCTTTTGGCCCTGATGTTTTTTGCTCTTAATTGTTACACCAAATCTGACCAGAGCAGGTATGCTACTAACAGAATTCTGTGATGTTTTGAAATTTTTTTCCATTGGATTTATTAGTTCATTACATTTAACTCAGTCTCCCATGAAATCTTGGGG